GGGGTCCCCGCGGGAGGCGGGACCTGCGGGGCAGGGGCCTGCGCAGCGGGGGGGGGGGGGCCCCGCGGGGGGGGGGGGCCTACGGGGAGGGGCTAGCGCGGTTTCCGGTGGAGTCCTCGTGGGTACCGGACCCGCAGGGAATGAGCCTGTGCTGCCTCGGGTGGGGTCCTCGTGGGGGTGGGGCCTGCGGGGAAGGGGCCGGCGCAGCCTTAGGTTGGGGGGCTCTGCAGGGTCGGGCCGGCCGGCACTGAGCCCCGTGTCCCGCAGCAGGAGCAGCAGCGTGGGCAGCAACGCCCATCTGGGCCTGGGGAAGCACGTGTCGCTGTCACCACACGGGCCGGGCCCCCACCTGTCTACCTCACACCTGGCGCTCCGGTCCCAGGCGCAGAACCAGCACCACGCGGCCATGTTCGCCGCGCCCCCGACACTGCCCCCGCCCCCGGCGCTGCCGGCCAGCAGCCTGGTCCTCCCAGGACACCCGGCCGGTAGGTGTCTCGGCCGCGCTCTCGCCCGGGGCAGAGATGGGGATGCGGGGACGCGGCCACTGGGGAGGGGCGCACAGTTGGGCCCTCCACCTGCTGCGGGCTCGGCGAACCCTGGGCGCCTCTCTGGCCGCACCAGTGGGTCTTCCCCAGGGTCCCCGCTGGTCCGCGGGCCGTGTGAGTGCAGGGACAGGCAGGACGCAAGTGCGCACACACGGACAGACGCGAGTTCGCGATGAGACGTGCGCCCAGGCGGCCTCTGGCGGGGGAGGAGGGGGCGCGCGGCGGCAGGCGCCATCTCAGTGGAACCCCCACCGCTAAGGCTTCCTCCTCGGCCCCGGGCGCTTCCTCAGGCTCCGAGTCAGCCCTGCCACGGCTGGGGACAGCCCCGTGTCCCGGGATGGGACCAGGACGCTGGCTCCCGGGGAGGGGCTCACCGTGTTCTCTCTTGCCTCTAGATGCCAGCCTGTCGGTCTCATTCAGCCAGCCAATCATGTATTGCCAGCCTCATTCGGGGATTCTGATTGGTACTTGGTCACAGGCTCCTCTCTTACCTGCACCCCTGGGCCCGCACGTGGCGAGCGGCCACCCCGGCTTGGCCTGCCGACCCCGGGAGTGCCAGGTGACTATCCGCCTCGCCCCACCGGGAGCCCGCGGCCGACGTGCCTCTCTGTCTCTCTCTCTTTTTCTCTTGTAGATCACGAGCTGCTCAGGCAAGAGCTGAACACGCGGTTTCTGGTGCAGAGCGCCGAGCGGCCTGGCGCCTCCCTGGGCCCGGGGGCTCTGCTGCGGGCGGAGTTCCATCAGCACCAGCACACACACCAGCACACGCACCAACACACACACCAGCACCAACACACATTCGCCCCGTTCCCCGCGGGGCTGCCCCCGACGCCGCCCGCCGCACCCCCGCCGGTGCGTAGGCCCGCGTGCTGGCAGGGGCTGGGTGGGTGTGGGGCGGGCACACGCAGCAGGCACACGCAGACACGCCCGCACGCACACCAGCCCCGGAGAAGGCAGGGGCCGGCAGCACCTCTGCCCGCCGGATCCCCAGGACACCCTCTGGCGTCCCCACCCCAAGCCGTGCCCTGAGGTTCCACCCTGGGCTGTGGTCCTGGGCTTAGGCAGGCACCCCGTGCCCACGTGCCTGGGACACCCTTACACCTGTACTTGGTCCCCAGTGCCAGCGCTGGAGGCCGAGACAGGCCTGAGGGGCACCGGGACCAGGAGTCAGGGTGCCTCCCACGTCCCCCGCCCTGGAGGCTGGTCTCAGGAGGGAGTTGCTGGGGGCTCAGGTCTTCTCCACTCTTGGGTTTTGTTTGGAAACTGGCCACTTTGTCAGTAACCCATTGTGTCCCCAGACTCACCCAGCAGCCCCGGCTTCATGCCTCCGGCCTCAGCCAGGCATGCACAGCCCACGGAGGTGGGCCAAGCTCCCATCCCCTGCAAGAGGACCCTTAGGTTGGGGGAAGACCCTGGTCCGACACTGAGTTCAGAGCTGTGGGGCTGGCACTCTAGAGGAGCCTGGGACAGCTGGCCGCCGCCTCGGGGAGCACAGTGCCATCCTGGTCACTGCCCAGCCCGGCCAGGTGGGCGGGGGCCGGGGCCCAGCGAGGGTGTCGTGTGTGGGGGGCCTCACCCTCCCCTCCTTTCCTTCCAGTTTGACAAGTACGCGCCCAAGCTGGACAGCCCCTACTTCCGACATTCCAGCGTGAGTGTGAGTGTCCCTGAGAGGTCCGTCGCTGTGCACACAGGCCCTGGCCACAGAGGGTGGGGCTGCTCCTTGCCTGGCCTGGTCCCTGCCACATGGGTGCCGCCTCCTGGTTACAGGCAGAGGGTGATTTGGGGATCCGGGCCACTACCCTGGTGATGGGGCCAGCCCCTCCATCTGCTCTCCTTCTCTTACAGTTCTTCCCGTCCTTCCCTCCTGCCATCCCGGGACTGCCCACCCTGCTCCCACACCCCGGCCCCTTCGGGTCCCTGCAGGGCGCTTTTCAGCCCAAGGTACCGCTGCCCTTGGCAGGTGGGGCGGGCACAGCAGGTGGGTGGGATTTTGGGGTAGTGCACGACAGCCTCAGCAAACTCTGCCCACAACCATCCTCCCTGTACCCGTTGTAATCCGAGCGCTGGCGTGAGTAGCCTCTGCTGGGGTGAGGGGCTCTGCTCTCTATGTGGCCACCATGGGAGGGGCAGGGGGTCCAGACTGGGAGCAGCCCCAGGAGGTGGTGGTCGCCCACGAGGGGCTTCAGCCTCCGTGCAGAAGGCACCAGTTCTCGGCAGGAGGCCCCAGCGTGGACAGCAGCCTCACCAGCCGTCCACACTGCAGGGGACCTGGTTCTTTTAGGGCCATCCAGGCTGCAAAGGTCCTGGATCTTTTTCTTTTTTCTTTTGAAACAGAGTCTTGCTCTGTCTCCAGGCTGGAGTGCAGTGGCGTGATCTCGGCTCACTGTCACCTCTGCCTCCTGGGTTCCAACGATTCTCCCATCTCAGCCTCCCGAGTGGTTGGGATGACAGGCGTGAGCTACCAAGCCTGGCTAATTTTTTGTATTTTTATTAGAGACGGGGTTTCACCATGTTGGCCAGGATGGTCTCGATCTCCTGACCCTCATGATCTGACTGCATCAGTCTCCAAAAGTGCTGGGATTACAGGCGTGAGCCACTGTGCCCGGCCAGTCCTGGATCTTTTATGCTTCGCAGGTACAGGATACCCAGGGCTGTCCAAACCACAGGAAACCCAGGCCTTACAGGGCCGTCCACACCACAGGAAACCCAGGCCTTACAGGGCCGTCCACGTCACAGGAAACCCAGGCCTTACAGGGCCGTCCACACCACAGGAAACCCAGGCCTTACAGGGCCGTCCACACCATAGGAAACCCAGGCCTTACAGGGCCGTCCACACCACAGGGGACCTGGGTCTTACAGGGTCATCCACACCGCAGGAAACCCGGGCCTTACAGGGCCGTCCACACCGCAGGAAACCTGGGCCTTACAGGGCCGTCCACACCGCAGGGGACCCGGGTCTTACAGGGCCGTCCACACCGCAGGAAACCCGGGCCTTAGAGGGCCGTCCACAACACAGGAGACCCAGGCCCTGTAGGGCCGTCCACACCGCAGGGGACCCTGATGTTACAGGGCCGTCCACACCGCAGGGGACCCAGGCCTTACAGGGCCGTCCACACCGCAGGAAACCCAGGCCTTACAGGGCCGTCCACACCGCAGGGGACCCGGGTCTTACAGGGCCGCCCACACCACAGGAAACCCGGGCCTTAGAGGGCCGTCCACAACACAGGAGACCCGGGCCTTACAGGGCCGTCCACACCGCAGGGGACCCGGGCCTT